ATGGGGCTAGTTTGGTTTGGTTTGGTTTGGTTTCTGCTTTGGATTTGAGGCTGTCACCGGGTCAAGCATCATTCTTAGCAATAGAGAACTGGGGAATTTATGCCCTGTGTGTAGTGTATTGCTTCAAGGATGCTCTGGCATGAGAGATTCTATTAACAATACAGCTGACCTGTGAATCTCCTTACAAACTGAGATTGAACCACAAGCCCTGCAGGCTCCAGTGAGAGGTTTCTGGGAGGGTCTCAAACAGAATTGGGCTTTTCTGGTAGATTTGTGGTTTGGGCTTGCATGATTTGGGGCTGCTGGGATCGCGAGGCGGCTGATGCTATGTGGGGGCAGTAAGCTCTGAGAAGAGCATTGGTGTCATCACAGATACCAGCAGATATCTGATGCTGATCTGCTTGAAATGGAGGAGCAAGCGAGGGCTGAAAGGGAAGTGTGTTCAGTGGTGCTTCAGTACTGCTGTCTGCACAGAGGCGGCAGAGAAATAGCTCTTGTTGTAGTTTCCCCACGGGGAGAGAGACTGGGTATGTGGGTATTTGTCACTTGCCTCCCATGAGGAATGGGAAGAGCCTCACCAGGATCCTCTCAGGACACTGGAGTCCCAGAGCCGTCCCAGCAGCAGAGATAAGGCTGAACTCATCGGAGATCATGCTACAGCAGTTTTGAATGTTCTGATCTGCCACAGCGGTTTGCAGAGCAGCAAAAGCACCAACTTACCTAGGAGGCATCGGATGGGTCACACACGGCTCCACAGCCTTTGGTTCCCTGGGACTTTTGCTTCTTAAAGACATACCTTGGAGAACTATTTCTGGGTCTCGGAGGTGCAGTGGTCAACAAACCCTGTGTGTACGCAAAATAAGGTCCTTCCTCCAAGCACTCAGGAACTCCAGTGCATCAGATACGTAAGTCAGAACACCCACCCCCCGCCCACCTTAATTAGGCTGGTAGTCTCACTGCTGGGCAGCTCTTTCTTTTGGCAGTGTAACCGTGGCTGTTGATGAAACAAAGTGGTATGCAATGTAATTCTACCCAGGTGACCATTTGACACTACACATAGATTACAAATTCCTTGTATAAGTGATGAGTTAAACAACCTAACTTCCAATCTCATTTCTGCTGCTGTAAACCTGGAGCATCTCTAAAGCTAGTTGGGGCCAAAGAGAATAAGAAACTTTGCGTTTTGAAATGACTCAACTTCTCATTCTGCTGAGGTTCAGCCTCAGGGGAAGTAAACCAGAAAAATTATCAAGATGGTGTTTCTCAGCAGCTTTATTATAAATATAATGGCATCCTCTTTGGTGGCTTCTAAGCTGCCTTTTAGCTCCATTAATTTATATAATTATGTGACACCTCAGCCACATGTCTGAGGATGAAGAGTGAACCATCTCTGAGCTACCAAACACTATGAAAACCTAGCAAGTGGAAAATCCAGATGTCCATCTAATACAGAGTGTGCATGTTTGACAAAACAAGACAAGGGAAGGAGATTGAGAGTGATGCATGCACCAAAACACACTCTGTTGCTTTTTGCCTATATGGACAGTTTCTGTTTCTTAGGATGTAATCAGATTAACCTTGCTATTATTGTCCATGAGGATGCTGAGTCAGTTGTGTTCCCATGGCTGTGAAAATGTCAGCTATAGGGAATGAGACGGGCATGGGTTTCTGCAGTGATGGAGCTTCTCAGAGTAGCTGAGTTAGAGTGCTGGGGTGCAGCTGTGGTAATTCTTGCCCACAGTTTCCAAATGCATGTATTTTAGCTGTGAGGAATCTCCTCCATCTGTGTGATTTCAGCTACTGCCTTAATGCTGACTTCCTGAGATTTCCCTCTCCCTCCTGCCCTTCTTCCAATCTTCTATCTCTGGTTCCCCCTCCACTGCATTTCATCTCAACTAGTTTCCTGCTGGGTAAAATGCACATCCTCCTCTTTCTTCCTATTCCCTCCCTTCTCTCCCACTGTTGGCAGTTTTCCAGTCCAGCAACGTTGACCTTATCTCCAGTTCCTTCCATTTCCTCCCCTTCAGCTAACACTATCGTTGAACTGTGCCCATTTTCCTCTCCTCCATCCTCCAAATGCATCCTGCTTTCCTTGCTGACTACAGTCCCCTCTTTTCTGGCCTCCTTTATGTATGCCTCCATGCAGGAAGCTGATAGGAGTTTGGCTGAAGCTTTTTTTTTTTGTGAACCACACTGGAATCAGTGGGAATGAAGCACCTTCCCCCCTTTATAAAATTGTGACTATGTGTGTCTGGAAAGCGCCTTTTCTAAAGGCACAACTGCAGAAAAGCACTGGGTGTAATGATAAGTACGAAGCCACCCTTAGCAGCGTGGGTATTTTTACTTGTTGCATCCTGCAGTTGCAAAGAGCGAGGACGTTGGTGAGATGCTTGCTTGCTTCCCCACTCTCTTCACGTGCGTGTTTGGCCTTTTGTACTAACAGTCTGACGTGGTGGGGAGTCTCTGTGGCTTGAGGCGTAGCGGGCCGGCAGCGTGGTCGTTCGGTGCACTCGCCATTGCCGACGATTGCACTCAGCAGGTTGGACATCTGTTTCAGTTGGCTGGGGGCTTCGACTTCCAAGCTAAGGATCAGGGATCAGGCCTATTTTAGAAATGGAGTCATCTGTTACTGAGAGTCTGACAGCAAGTTTTGGGTTTACCTGCTTTCTGCATCCCTCATTCTTCAACATTATTTTTCTCTTTTTCTGTCAAATTCTCTACCTGTGTTCAGGTGGAGCTCAGTTATTTGCCCTTGCTGAATTTCAGCTGCTTGTCCAAGAAGGAAGGTGACCTTTTGAATGTTTTTTTGTTTTTTTTTTTGTGCGATACGATGTATCCAGTGCATCACCGTGCTTGCAGGATTACTTTTATCTTGTCAGTATGGTGATCAGTTAAGTATGATCAAGCTCTTTAGAAAACACTTCTCTCTAATCATTCCAGTTTCATTTGTATTCCGTAATAATTTTGAGAGTGATTACAATCATGGAAATGCTTTGTAGCTCATTAGTGACTTCAGTTCTTTGAGGAGAAGCTGCCACTCTATCATACAGGAGACCTTGTGATTTACTCTAATTTGGTCAGAAGACTTTATTTAAAATGTTGTCAGCAGCAGGATCCAGCAGAATTCCTTTTACTTTGTCAGATTACTTTCAACTCAGAAGAAATACTCGATGTTAGACCTTTGCTTGGTATTTCCTGTGTTACTTCTAAGGAGAGCCATGGGGGAAGATCCATAGCAAGTATGGTTCATGGCCACAAACTCCTGAATATTCTGCTTTCAGTTGTCATGATCATGCTTATTTATGGGAAGGCGGCAGCTTTCATGCTGAAGCCAGAGGAATTACGCATGTATTGGTGTTTTTGACCTCTGCGGGAAGCTGATTCTGGAAGGACTCTGTTACATTTACCATCCCTGTGAGAAATTTGTAGCCCATTTTGCAGTCTTAAGTCGCAGCTGTAGACTGGCTGGACTCGGTCCCTGGTGCTCCCACCCCAGCCTCTGCGTTTTCTGTGTGAGGCTATGGACAGGATGGCTGAGGACATGTCCTCAGGTGGCCACAGCTCCAGCAAGCTGTAACTCTCTGCCAGCCAGTCCAGAGCAATGCCCAGCCTGTGAGTGTCTCTTGGTCTCTGTGCTTTGGCAGTCTGTTAAATCTCCTTGGAGAATTACTGTGGAGTTATTAAGTCTAATTTTCCTTTTTCTAAGATGCCTGCCTGTCAGAAAGAAGTTTTTGTATCACCAGCAACTCAGTTCATGAAGGTCGCTGTTACGAGTAGATGGCTGTTGGGTTAAGCACAGATCAGTGGCCTAGGCATGAAAGGCTCCATGCATTTCATGCTATTTTTATCTTTAGCCTAATGGATTGACCCATCTTTTTCTTCAATGTATGCACATGAACACTTTTATTAGTAAAAAGGCCCCCACAACTTAAAACATTTGGAAGAATGAGAGGTGGCGAAGTACCTGTCCGCTGGTCCTCCTTTCTGGCACGACTAGCTTGCTGGCCTTGGCTTAGAAGGCAAAGTGATGAGATGAAGCATAAAACATGCTGTGGTTTTGAATGTGGAAAAGATGAAAATGGAATGCCTCATGTGTTGTACGTGAAAGCATTCCTGTGATGGTGCTACATGCTGCTCTGCCATCCTAATTTGCTTTCAGAAGGCCCCAGCATAATCATTCTTTGTGTTTCCTAAAGGATGTGAAGACTAAATATGAGTTTGGTCAATGGTTTCATTGTTGATTTCTCCCACTGCTACAAAGCAATGCAAAAATATTAGGGACAGGCAGGGTGCATCTCACTGAATAAAGATATTGTGTCTCTCATAATCCAAGTCGGATGCCTTTAAAAAAGGAAAGCCCTATGAAAAGTGCTTACAAGGCTGTTTGGACAGCAGAAATCTTTTGTAAAGTGTAAATTCGGCATCCTTCCCAATAGGATCCTTCATGCAGGAGGACTGGCCAGCATTTTGGGAACAAACCTAGCCAACATTAGGTTTGGACATCTGCTTGTTTTAAGGTTGCTTTCACAATTTTCTCTGTAGCTGAAGATTGGTACTTGATGTCTATGAGAAAATGTTGCCAGAAAAGCAATGAAGTTATGCCAACTGTTTCTTTCATGAATGCAGCTTCTTAGAAATGACCGCTTTATGTTGGAAAAGCATCTTGTATGCATCGCTCCCTTGGTGGGAAGGATGAGAACTGCTTGATCTTGTCCTTGTACAAAGTTATCCTAAGTGAGCAAAGAGTGTTTCTTGAATCAATTCAGCTTTAAACAAGGGTAATCTCCTGCCTGAGTACATCTAGACTGAGTGATGGTGGTCTTAAATTGCATTAAATCAAGTGTCTTGTGAGGAAGGGGTAGCGGTGTCTTTTGTCTTTGCGGGTGGCTGAAAGGGATTGAATTTGAGAGAAGCTAGTGGTCAAATTTTTTGGATATTTTCTTCCTCCTTGCTTAAATCACCCAAAGGGAATTAAAGCATATCTTCTCTTATTTCAACAGGGACCAGCTCGCATGACATCTGATCTTGCATCTTCTCCTGCGGCAGGATATGTCCCTGTTGGTCAGAAACCAGAGGCTGTTGTGCATGCTATGAAGGTAAGGGTGCCCCAGATCCCCACATGGCCGTGCAGTGTGGTGTGGTACAGTGTGGTCTGGTGCAACAAATGCCAAAGTAGCAGAACTGGACGTTTGCTCTTCTTGTGGAAACACAACTAGAAATAGAAAGTTAGTACTCAGGCAGATTAATGGTAACCAGCACCTGTGACACGATGAATGATCATTACTTAAATAGTTGCAGAGTTAAGCAAGATCATGCATGACTGTTTTCTCGGGTGGGAAACCTCCAACAAAAGCTGCTGATGTTGAAGGCGTTGATTACCCTTTCTGTTCATCAGTCCTCCATAAACTGAGTCTCTGGGGTGACAGTGGTGACTGAAATGCTGTTTTTAAAAGGGACACAAAGCCTGCAGTTCCTACCTATGTTTTGTTATTGAAAATCCTGCAGCAGTCTTCAAAGAAGAAAGAGTTTATTTTATGTAAATACACAGCAAACGTGACATCATACCCATGCAGATGTGTACATCGTCAATGGGGATTAAAATCAGGACTGTCATCAATAAAAACCATGGGACACTGTGAGCTGAGTTAAAGGAGAAAACTTGCACCATGATTTCACAGCAGTTCTCATCAGCTCACAGTAGTGACCATCCATTAGCAGGAAAAATGTAATACCCTGGTGTTACATGTTTAAGTAGTTAAGCAAGTTGCTTCTGAGTATCTAAGGGACACAAAAGCACAAATCCTTTCCAAGGTGCCATAGGGATCGCTGGAAAGTCTCTAACTCGATTAGGCTCTGGTTGGAATATACAGAGTTATAGATTTGGATTTGTTGAAGCTGAAAAAAGTTGTACATCAAAAAAACCCAAAATTGTTTCATCAAATCAAAGGAGGATTCCTGGATGGTTACTCTGGAGCTCAGATCCCCATGGTCGTAGCTGGAAAAAAGGTCCAGCAGTGGCATCAGCACTACCTTAACCTGTCCTAGACCTGGAGACTGGTGCTTACAAAGCTCTTTGCTTTGTACCTTTCCACATCTGACAGCTAAATAAATGGCACAGGTGTTGCTCGTAGCTCTGATCTGCAAGTTCCCTAAATTTTCTAGGTTTTAGTATTTTCAGCTTACTTTTTTGTGCCTGTCCAGGGTCTCTTTGCTCCAGGACGGATGTGGCAGGTGGTGGTGGTAAAACCAACAAGCGTCAGGAGAAGCGGTAGTGCAGCTGGCAAGGATGTTGGTTCCACCAGGCAGTTGCAAGATCCCGGGAGGATATTGAGTGTCACTATTTCTCAAGTAGTTCATCTTTGATGTGTTTATGGTGAGTGAGGAATTAGGAAAGGAAAGACAAGTTTGATTTGATTTGGATCACTTTTGAATTTAAATTCTAAAATACCCTTCAAGCTGAAAATCTTGATTTTTCAGCTTACTTGAGGCTTTATGCACCCAGGTTGTATAACTCTCATTGAATCTTAAGAGAAGGGTGTCCAGCACCATCAAGGATTAAAAAATACCTTTAATACAGGTTTTACTAGTTCTCAAAGGGGCCCTGGCCACACAAGTGGCAGTTCACTTGCCTACATATATTTGTCCTCTCTTTTCCAGACAATTTTCTTCTTTGCTTCTTGTGAATGGTTCTGTGCTATCAGAAAGCTGTTGTGCTGCATTGCGCTTGTGGGTGACGTTTCTCCTGTGTATCTGTGCATATGGATCTGCTAAACCGGTGCCTGGCGGAACATTACAGACTCATGCCATACCTTTGCTTTTCTGACGCTTTGTGCTAATCCAGTTTCGCTTGCATTTAATCATCCAAGCCTTTATGCAGTCCAGACTACTGCTGTTGGCTTTTTCTTCCCAAACCATGCACATCTTACCTTTCTGCTCCTGCTGTTCATTGAATTTGGTGAGGTGCTGGTGAGGGACAATATTAAGCAGAGTTGATGATAATGTTTTTAAGTTAAAAGATCAAATAGTTCTAAGTTGATTATGAGCACATTCTGGGAGGAAATTAGGTTCCTATTTGCTTTAGGGTTATGGGACTGAATTTCTTAGGGAGGGCAAGAAACATAAATGGTTTTAAGATGTGGTTTGGTAAGCTTATGAAAAGAATTGGAAAATTAATGAGGACAATTCTTGAAAACTGGAAGTTAGGTTTGAGAGGTCTGGTGCAATGATGCATGTAAAGGAGTTGAAAGGAAGTTGGATGACTGGTTATTTGCACATATGATGATCATGATGATGATAATTAATCCTCTACTTCAGAGCTTTATTGATCACTAGGAAAGGCTGGAAGAAATTCTCCTCTGCAATTTCATAGTTTGGCCAGTGGGAGTACGTTTGTCTGTCTTCAAAATCCTGGAAAGTGCCACAGCTGGGATGAGGAAGCAGGTGGCATAGCAGTTACATGTCACGGGGCATAAATGATCTCACGTCATGTGTCCTGCTTACACACTTAGGGTTAAAAATATTCTCACATATGAAGTGAGGAGGAAACTCTCCTGTAGGTCAGTGTGTCAGGGAGGGATGAGAAGGTGTTTTATTTTTCCATCCTGTGGCCCATTTCCAAAGATCTACTGGAAATTGAAAAGGCTGAGGAAACTGGTCATGGTCTCAATCTCTCTTCCTCCCTTCTTGTGGCACAGTGAAATTGTGGCTGTTGGTCTCCAGTTGTAGATCTTAAACTGAGTAGAAGATAACGTTTTTTGGCCAATGGCATGCTGTAGCGTATGGAGTAGGTCTTACTTGCTCCCTGCAGACCTGGGCAGCTTTTCCAGTGCCAGCCCCTGCATGTGGGAAACTGGATGCAGCTACAAGCTTAGACCCTTGCTGCCTGTGATACAGCTCATGACCTTCCCTTCAGGAGGAGAAGAGACTAGCCTACAAACGAGACTTTGTGCTTTTGCTATACCACATCAGATATTAGAAAACGCCTTTCTTGGTTGTGTAAAGAAATCCTTATGGCTGTAGCAGGCTAGCTTCTGGCCACGAGGAAAAGCAAGGACAGTTGGAAGTTGGCTTCGCTTGTCTTGCAGGCTGCTTGAATGCAAGTCTGTCCAGAAGCGTTGTGGCTGCAGGGATGTGGCTCAGTGCCCACGCAAAGGTCACTGAGAGGCTGTGCACTCTGCACAGCTCTGCAGGGCTTCTGGATTGCCTCCGTCTGCACCCATCTACATAATGTCCCCTAGGCTTTTTCCTTGGCTTTTTCTGGCAGCTGAACGCTAGCTATGTGGCTGAAGCGCTGCCTGCCATTTAGCGTAAATTCATTCTTCCTTGAGCACATTTAGGGATTTTCTTTATTTTTGCTTCTAAAATAGTTTTTGTTTCTTTGCACCTTCTAAATAAGGAGCAAGATGACAGGTTGGCACTCCTAACAGCTGTTTTTGCTAACAAGAATAAAAGGTACATATGCTACAGCTCGTATCTCGCTGAACATCAAAGCACTTTTCTTAGGAATTGAGCAAACCTGCTAAAGACGTGGGGAGGTGAGGAAGAGGCAAATGCACAAGAGTGACATTTAGCCTATAACCCAACTCCCCCTGCAGCAGGAGCTTGGACCTCTTCCATGTGCACAGAGCCATTGAGCAGGTGATCAGTCACTCCCACTGATGTTGGATAAGGCAGGATTTGGCCCTGTAACACTCGGGAAAAGTCCTAGCAGGGCATATAGACTGTTCCCTTGCCAAAGCAGGATGCAGTGTTCCCCAGTGCTTTGTCCAGTTGACTTATAAATCAATAAAATCAGGGAAGCTTGCAACCTTCAGAAAGCATCCCTCAATCTCAGAGTGCTTCCTGGTACACAAACGCTTACCTCCGCTTTCAGCTCCTCTTCCAAAGCTTTATCATTCTGACTCTTTTGGGGATTTTTTTGTTTGTTTTTTAAATATGCATTTTGTGGTCATGCGTACCAGTGCAGCAAGTCAGCAGGGAGGTGGATGTGATGGACTGGGTGACTTTGAGGTGATGCTGCCTTGGTCACAGATGTCAGTGCAGTCATGAAGGAGAACTAAATACACCCGAGGTGTTCCTCATAGTTTACATATCAGCGGGGAGAAAGCCAGATGAGCCAGTGTGCTCATCAAGAGTGAGGTGCAGGCTGGCTTTGGAAAGTGGCATCCCCAAGCAGAAGAGCAGCGTTAGCTGGTCCAGCCCCATTCGCCTGCAGGGGGAATTGCCTGAGCAGAGCAGGCTGCCCTCTCTGGCTGGTGTTTTACCGAGGGAGATCACACAGCGCCAGCACGTCCAAAGGGCCAAGTGCTGTCAGTGCAGCTTGACGAAGAACAAAAAGGAGGGGACTGTGTGAGCCGCTTCCAGCCTGGCTTATGCTTGTCTGTTTTCCGTGGGCTCCTGGGTTGGGATGCGGCAGAAGTCATGGGAGGATATATCCCAGTTTCTTAGATCCACGCTGAATCCGTAGTCCTTGAACTTCAGCTGAGCTGTAGACAATTTATGTGAAGGCACATCCATAGTCCCCAGCGGTGTAATTGGAGGAACATTAGCCTGGTCCTTCTAAACAGCTGAGGCGGCGCCTGGCAGGATCTGAGAATGGCCGGGGCTGGGTCAGCACTAAAAGGCCTTCCTGTCTTTCTTCAGGAGGTGATTTCACTCTTCACAGTGTATTTTTTTCCAGCATGCCTTTCTGGGATAGGCTGTTGAGTTTTATCCCCTTGAATCCCCTTTTCCTGTACCCAAGATGCTAACACATTCATTTCCACTGAAAGAAATGGGGCGTGCCACCCTTCCACACCTCCTGGGACTAGGGAATACAGTTTCAGTTTAAGCGCAGGTTGTAGAAAAACTGTTTATTTTTGTCCGCTGATACTCTTGTGCCTGCAGGATTGATGGCTGGTGGAAGCAGAGGCTGGAGCTGATGTGATCTTTAACTAATCTAAACCATGGTTGTCCTTGACGCTTGCCCTGTGGACACAGCCAGTGCTTAGCTGCCAGCCAGGCAGCCCTGGCGCTTCGCACGGGGATGTGATCCTGCAGGCTGCTGCCTTTGCGGAGGCACGCTGACTCCGGACGAGCGAGTTCGATGTGCGAGTCCAGCTGGATCAATAATTAATTCCCTCCTCTTTGGCAAAAAATAGATGTCGTCTTTGTCAGCATGTACATGCTTTTTGCATCTCTCTTGCCCTTCCTCTCCTCTTAGAAGGGATGTGGACAATTCTTGTTTGTGCAAAGATTGGTCCCAGCTATGTCAGTTAAACTAGCTGGTGCATTTTAGAAGTAGGTTAAGGACCCTGGGAGAATGACCTATTTTTGTTCGTAACACAGTTCGAGTACAGCAGGATTGCTGTGCCGAGGCAGACCAGGGGATAATCTACCCTGCTGTCCTGTTTCATGGAGCAGCCGGTGCTGTATACCTCAGCAAAGGGTGAAACCCATCCTTGCACTGCATCTAGCTCTGTACTTCCCTAGGAGGTGTGGGGATATTTACATGCACAAATACACCTGCTGTACAGCTTGATATGCATGCAGATGTACTGTGGTGAATAAGACCATGCGCTATTTGATGGCATTGGGTGATTCCAGAAGCTCTGACCCTGCACACTGAGCTGACCACCTTGCTCATCAGTGGCAGAGCCCTGGCTGAGCTATGTAGGTCAGCACAGATGCAGCAGTAAAATCTTGAGGCGGTCCTGCACTGTGATATGCCCGACTTGTGCTACATGCCCGTCCGGAGGAGCTATCTGAATGCATGCAGGTGTGCTGGAGGGGGTATTCTGTGGGTCGATGTCTTTCCAGAGGGACACAAAGGCTGCCTTCAGCCCCAGGCAGCCTCGTCTCTGATGGAGGGACCACCTGGCTGCAGCCGGGCACTGCCCCCCTGGAGGTGCTCTGTGGGGCTGAGCGGGACGGTGTGTGCCCAGGCAGGACATGGGGGGTCGGGGCTGGCTCCCAGCTGCTACAGAGGTGCGAGGTGTGGGCAGCACGTGGGGGCACACAGCAACCACCTGGACATGCTGCATCATAACAGCCATGTGGCCTGGGGTCAGCGCTTGGGGAACGCGTCTCCAAGTGCCATTTAAAAGAAAGAGGTTAAAAATCAGACTTTTTTCCATTTTCAAACTTTGTGAACCTGAAAGCTAAGAAAATAAGTCACAGGCAGGATGTTTGCACTGGTTTTTGCAGCGTCCTGAGCTGCTTTCACAGCTCATTTACTTGTCTTCCCAAGGCACATCTGCAGCCACCAGGCTAATGGCATCCAGGAGGCCCCCAAACACGAGCACTGGACACGTCAGGTCTGGGGTGTCAGTGCTGGAGCTGTAACTTCTCTGTCTCTGCAAGGAAACCTGGTTCTTCCCAGATCCAGGAGTGCCTGCTGGAGATGCTCTCCGAGCCACAGAGCACAGCCTCGAATCCTTCCCCCTTTCCCCTTTCAGGCTGTTGCTGTCTTTGCATCCATGTCTCCTGTTTTTCCAGTGCTTTCCTCCCATTAATACTGTGGAAAAAGCCCCGTAGCCACGGGCAGGAGGTAAAGGAAAGGCGATGCCTCACTGCTCCAGGGGCCTCTGCAGGCAGGGTGCTGCAGGCATGTACCTGGGCCCGCTGCCTGTAGCCAGGCATGAGAGGAAAGACGGCAAAACGGAGCTGCTTGCGGAGGACCAGACGGGCCTGGCACCAGCGCTTTGTGGGTATGGCCTGTCTTCAGCAGTGCTTGTACCAGCTGAACTCACCGGACAGCCGGTAAATGCCACCCTGCAGCCGCGGCTGCGGTCCTGGGTGTGAGGTGTGTGCCAGCCCCGGCCGAGGGCCGCCTGTTCCCTTGCCTTCACGGGGCATGCGCTGTAAACGGTGCTGATGGAGATTAAAGTAAAGCTTGGGGAGTCGAGGTGATTATCTCCATCTTCAGAGGGCGTCTGTGGCACAAGGAGAGGGTGACCCAGATTCGCCGCGGCACTCAGCACTCGGTGGGGACGGCGCCCGCAGAGTACTGCCGTTGGCACGCAGGGTCCTGGGAGGCAGTGCTGTTTTTTTCCCTGCGCCATTCCCATCCCCTTCACAGCCTGGCTGCATCCAGCTGGAAGAGGGAGTGGGTAAGAGCTGGGAATCAAAGTGGGATCTCTGAGTCCCAGGGCTCTGTGCTAACTGCGTGTCTCTTGCTTACTGTCATCGTGGGCCTCTGAGGGGTTCCCTTGAGAAACTAAATGCGTTAAAAACAATTTTCAGCCAAAAGGTGAGTGAAATTTGCTGTGCCTGCTTAAGATCTGAAAGTTCATGGCTGATTGGAGACCATACACTTAAGCTGCACAGTGGGTAATACTGCTGCTTTTCAGTGGTACAAACCTCCGTTTGCCTCTTTCGCTGATGGCTAAACCCCTGTTAGACCTAAAAGCTGCCAGCCTGGGCTGACCACAGTTGCCCCATGACTCAGATTAGTAGAAGGGAGTGGAGAAGCTCCGCTCCTGCCAAAGAGGGGAATGGAGGGAGCACGAGTTGCTGGGAGATTGCCTTGGGGGAGCTGCCTGGAAGGTGGGGCCACCAGCAGCCTTCCTGGAAGAGATGTGTTTGTGGATGCAGACAAGTCACTGACAATTATCACGTGGTCCCCCAGGACTGTGGTGGCAGCCATGCAGGTGCCATCACCAGGGCAGGAAGAGGATGTCGGTACCCAGCTTGGTGTCACGGTCGTCTTTGCAGTTCTCTGACTGTCATCAAGGTTTTGTGAATCCTGCCAATTTAAATACTGGTTGATGAGTTTGTTAGGGACACTTAATTATTATTTGAGGACCATAATGCTTTTGTAATTTTTTTTTGTAGGTCCTTGAGGTCCATGAAAATTTGGACAGGCAAATGCAAGACAACTATGAAGAAGACCTGAGTGAAAAGGAGAAGGCGATTGTTCGTGAAATGTGCAATGTAATAACTCCTCTCAGCAACTCTATGGGTTTATTTTGTGGTCTTTTGTTAGAAATATGGAGGAACAGGGGTCTGCTGCATACAAGCCCTGTTCAGTGTGAGATCCATAGGCACAAAGGAAGAGTGGAGGCTCTGCTGACCACTGCTTTGGTGTATCAGTAACCCAACGACTTGTTTACTGCATGGAGCAGCCTTTGCTCAGCAGATACCTCTCACTGCTGCTTTCAAGGCTGCAGAGTAAGCTAGTCTAGCTGACGGAGAGCTGTGCAAAGGGCTTGGAGAGTCCTGTTAGGAGCTGACTCCAGTTGTGTCCTTAGGGGGACTCAGTTTGGGCTGAGCAGTGACTGGTTGCTGTCTTTAAAGCTGTATAGCTTGAATGGGTTTGAGCCTAAACCGTAAGATAACATCAGAGGAAGAATATTCATGTCTGAAGCCGTTGAACAGCATCATGGTGTGTGAGGTGCTTTTAGCACTGCCACCATGTTGGGCAACCACACTGTTTACTGAGCTTGCCACGTCTTGTACGGTGAGCGTTCATATCAAACCTCTGCTCTGCCGTGCCTGCTGCTGTGGCGCTGCCTCTAGCTTCAAAGCAGCTTGGCCATGCTTTGGCTTTGAACAAAGAGTTTGGGGTTTCTGCTAGAACATCGCTGAAGCTGCATGTCGCCTGCAGTCAGGGACGTGCTGTTTGACACTACCAGCAGTGGCCCCAGCAGGGAGGAGGATGTTTATGGAGCCTTCTCTTTCAGAAGTCCGAGTTAGAGGTCAGCCCAAGTGGCATCATTTAGTGCCTCATGGCAGCAGAGAGGAGAATAACCCTCTGTTTAAATTCTTGAAAACCACCTCCACCCTAAAAAGAGGGTGTAGAGAACACAACTGAATCTTGCAGATCTGAATCACTGCAAGCGTCTTTGGCAAGGGTTGGGGCACTTCACTTTGGTTTCTAGATCCCTATAAGCAAAGCCAGGATCAGAGTAAATGAAGGCCTGCTTTTAGGGTATTTTGTTTGCTTAATGCCACATTCCCTTGTAGCCGTGCGGGGGAAAGGTAAAACACCGTAACTTCATCCTCCCAAACGGACTCATTTCTGTTTGTGTATCATCAGCTGGTTTTGCTTTAAATATTCATTTTATGTAGACTGCAGACAGCTATGAAGGGCTTTGCAGTTTCTTATTTTTTAGAGAAATAGTCTCCCTTACTCCAGTGGCCCTAGAGTGATAAAATGTATGTTTTTAGAA